TTTCATGTATTTATTCATATTTGAACGTTAAATAATATTATGCGCACAAAAATGAAATTCAAATTAAATAGGGAAAATCATTTGCAGAGAAAATATAATTATTATCTTTGATAAAACATGGAAAGTATTATTTAGCACAAATATAGAGAATATTCTGTTTTTAGTTTAAATAAAATAATAATTCTATTAAAATTAAATGTTAATGGCATTCTTTTGTAACTAACTCAAAAAATAATGGCAGAATCCTATAAGGAATTTTGCTTTAATAGTATAGATGTTTCAGATTTTCAGTAAAAACAAGGTTTATGTATAGTCCTAGGAACGAGAGAAATACAAAGTGTTGAAGATGAAAACTGGTGCTTCCATAAGAACAATGAATAAAATTTGAAACAAAATTAACAGAGATCTGTATATATTAACTACATGTCGTGTTAATTGTTTCAGTTTCTTGATAAATTGGTCTATCGTCGCTGACTCGCTGCTATCAACTTTTGTTTTTGTTTCAGGTGTTTGATATCTAAAATTATTCTACAACATCAAATGCCAAGAAAATATGCATTCAGACAATCAAATTCATAAATGTTTTTAATCTCAAAGGTATTTTGATGGTTCTCTTCCTCGCATATACATTTAATTACTCAACTATGCTTTCACATCAACATACCATGACGACAGTTTTAATCGAGTTTACATGGCTTAGTTGTGTATTATGTATAGCTTATCATTTACAGTATGTTAGTAGATTTATTTATTTTCCCATTGTTTACTGATTTTTACTTCATGGTTTGCTTTCATAGATTGATGTTTCTCTTTTATATGCTAGTATTTTTTGTTTGATTAGTAAGGTTGTTTTTGTTTGAAGATGTAGTATAGTAAATAAATTAATGGATATAATAAAGCAAAGAACCCATAAACTACATGTTAAACAAGCTAGAAAAAGGTAAAACATGAGAGCTTTAAACTAATAGTTGTACTCAACGAGAAAATTTAAATCAGTGTGAAATTTTATATGAAAATTTAAATTGATTTTATATGTTTTTGGTGAGACAATTATAAATGTATTAACATATTTTATTAATTTTTATGTATACTCATCTCTTTCTCATAAGCCAAAGTTATTTTTGTTACATATGTATAACTAAAATTTGGTTTTATTTGTTAAACAAAATTATTACCGTGGGTATGCACGGGATTAATGCTAGTACATATCTTATTTTGTTGCAGAGTGTCAGTTGAAACATACTTCTTACGTGAAATATATATACATAGATTAGTAATTCAAGTTGCAATTAATTTTGATAGCAGTTAATTTGTGTAATATATAGCAACTAGTATTATCTCCCGTGCTATGCACGCAGGGCCGGCCCATTCCCACCAAATGCCCCATTCCAATTAAAAAATTGAGCCCTTTTCCTTTGTAAATTTTTTTTTTTTTTTTTTTTATAGATTTCAGCTTAAATTGGCTTGAAAATGTTTTGGGCCCTAAGCAAAGGCTTCTTTCGCCTGTGCCCTGGGCCGAGCCTGTATGCACGGGTCAATTTTATTGTTTACTAAATTATCTAATCACAAATTGTAATGACTCTCAAAATATCAAAACAAATTATTATTATTTATTTATATATTTTATTAACTCGTGACACCATAGATAAATAAACCAAGAATATTAAATCTCATTTTGATAGTTTGATAGTCACTACTAACATAAAAAGCTTTTTAAATTATATTAATAAAAATATGCTCTCTCACATTTTTTTCTCAACATACATGGTAAATAAACCAAAAAATATATACTTCCTATTCAAGTAAACTATCAACAAAACGCAAAATTTTCCGTTAACTAAAATCACAAAAAGAATGACATCACATGTGTTATTCATGATTTTATTGTTTTCCAGAACAAAAAAAAATACCAATCTCATCGAAACCAGAAAAAAATATGGTGATTTATTATGATAAAAAGGTCAGTAAAATACTAACCCCTCTGTTTCATATTTCACATTGTAAGTAATTTTAGAGAATTGTTTTTCAAATTTTAAATAGTTTTCACATTTCTAAATAACCCCTATGTTTCATATTATATTGTAAGTAATTTTAGAGAATTTTTTGTTTGAAACTGTAAATAGTTTTCACATTTCTAGGTAACTTTTACATTTATTAAATATAGTGTGACCAATCAAATTATGTAGACTTATTTATGAATGATTCAATTATATCTAATCTATATATTAAATAATACTTTAAAAATTAATAACTTTTTAATCTGTATGTTACACAAAAAAATATATTTTTTAATCTGTATGATTTTAGCTAAGACTACTATTATGAAACAGGCAGAACATATTTACCTGTAATCTAGCAGTGACCAGTGGGATGTATTTTTTTCAAGCATGCAAAAGCTACAAAACAGATATAGAGTTTTGAAGAGGAACAAAATAGAAAGTAAAAAACTTTAATATATTCATTTTTCACCTCTATCTCATACTTCTGGATTTTTGAAAAAAACAAAGCTTGAGTCTGTTGAAAAAACTTTGCATGGAGGAGTGAATCTTGATTAATAAACGCTACAGTAGAAAATAAAGAAAATAGTGAGATCCAAAGAGATGAAGCAAGAACTTAAAAAATAAATAAATAAGAGATGATGCAAGAACAAAAACATGACATGAATTAACAAATACCTTGGAGAAGAAGCAAACATGCTCACATCGGGTTTGTAAATCAGAGAAAAGGAGAAAATGTATTTTCAGGAGATGTGTTAGTTAACAAACGGTCACACGATAATAAATTAATAAGTAGTTAAAAATATAGGTAGTTTTCAGGAGATTAATGGATTGAATAACCTTATGGCTAACTTTATCAGTCATTAATGGATTGAATAGCCTTATGGCTAACTTTTGGTGGAGCTCCTCTTCTCACCTTAAGAAGATCCATTGGGTTTCATGGGAAAAAATGTGCTTACCGAAACAGCTTGGTGGGTTGGGGTTTAAAGACCTTGAGTGTTTTAATCAAGCTATGCTGGCTAAACAGGGGTGGAAACTCTTGAACCAACCTGAGTGTCTAATGGCCAGATTCATAAAAAGCAGATACTACCTTCAGGGTGAGTTCCTAAGTGCTTCTTTAGGGTCAAAACCTTCCTTTGCGTGGAGAAGTATTGTCTTTGGAAGAGAGCTCCTGGAGAAAGGGTTGAAATGGCAGATTGGAGATGGCAGAAATACAAGAGTGTGGATAGATAAGTGGGTAGATGATCCGGTTACGGGATTGAGGGCTCCATGGATTAAGAACACCAGCTTTGAGGTTAACCTCAGGGTTAGTTCTCTGATCGATAGTAGCACAAGAAGATGGGATCCTCAAGCTTTGAATAACATATTTGTGGCAGGGGATGTTCTATTGATAAGTGCCAAGCAACCTATAGTCTCTAGGAATGACTCCTTCACGTGGAAACTTAATAGAAGTGGGAATCTCTCTGTCCGCTCTGCCTATGAGATAGCGACTAACTTAAAGATCAAGGAGAACCACCCCGAGGTCTTTTGCCTGCCGTCTCTGAACCCTATCAAGGAGAAGATATGGAAGGTACTCACTGTTCCAAAAATCAGAATTTTTATTTGGAAAGCTCTTAGTGATGCTCTCCCGGTGGCTGATCTGGTGAGAAGTAGAGGAATCAAAGGAGATGATAGATGTCAACTGTGTGGTAGGGATGGTGAGTCCATTCATCATGTTCTCTTTCAATGTAAGGTAGCGAAATATGTGTGGGCGCTATCTGGGATTCCTCAACCGGAATTTGAGTTCCAGAATAGGAATGTTTTTAACAACATCAATTACCTTATGAATATTATGTCAGAGGTGAGAGGTGAAGTTGAGGATAAACGCTCTTGGCCGTGGTTGCTTTGGTTGATCTGGAAAAGCAGAAATGATTTCTTCTTTAAAGGGGTGAGATGGACCCCAGAGGAGATTCAGATCAAAGCAAGAAAGGAGGCTGATGAGTGGTACTTGGCGCAAAGTATTGAGGAAATCATGACGGAAAAGATTGAGATAAGGGAGAAGGCTCCTGTGGGGCGTTGGACACCACCGTGTCAAGGATGGCTTTTATGCAATGTGGCCTTTGAATGGGTCAAAGATAGAAAACTTTTGGGTGTAGCTTGGGTGTTAAGAAATCATAGAGGTGTAGTGATTAGCCATGGTAGAAGAGCTTTCTCGGAGATTGAGAGATTAGATATGGCGAGGTTTGTCTCATTTGGATGGGCGGTGGAAAGCATGACGAGTATGCACTATAATAGAGTGGTTTTTGCAGGGGACTTTAAAGAATTAGCCATGGCAATCCAGAAACCTCACCACTGGCCGGTGCTTAGATATGAAGCGGAGGAGTTGAGTAGGAGCCTTGCCTTGATGGAGGAGTTTAAATTACAGTTTGCTAGGCCGGAGGAGAATAGAGGGGCGGCTTTCATTGCTCAAAGTGTGACAAGACAGGGGAGGATGCAATCGTATGTGGCTTCAGGCCACCCGTCTTGGCTATTTGAGTTCTTTGTTAATGAAAGTCGGTCCCTCTAATACTCCTGACCGAATACCTTTCTGCGCAAGCTGGTTCTAATCTTATGATTAGGTGTTTATCTGTGTTGCTTTTGTTTTTGGCCTTCGTTGTGGACTCTTGAAAGTGATAAACTTGATGGTGTTTGTATGTGGTTGTATGCCTCCTTCTTTCAATATATATATTCAGATGAAAAAAAAAAAAGTTTTCAGGAGATTGCTGGTGAATGGTGATCGTGGGATTGGAAGGACGAACTGTCCCTTTAGTGGACTAATAAAATATTTCTGATTTTGTCTAAATAAATAAATGGACGCGTAATTAGGAATGCTAACCTCTGCATTCATTTTTGTTTTTGTAATTTAAATTATTTTTTATGTTTAATCTATGTGGCAGTATATTATTGGTTGAGTGACTTGTGTTTTAGTATATAAGGGATAACCAACATGGATTACAAACAAGGGTTAGAGAGCGAATTGGTTATTTATATGTTGTTGCATTTGAAGTACTTTCTGAATAGTTCTTCTTCCTTGCAATGTACAGAGATGACTCTGTAGACTTCAATTAGCAATTTCGGAAACCGAACAGAAAAGTACTCGTCGAATCCTTCTGGAACCGTTCCAACAAGTTCCTAAGACATTAAAAGTTTCAAAACAATCAGTTTAAGCTCATGTCTGTAACAGTCTTTTGACGGTTTTACTTAAAAGACAAACCTGGATCTCTGAAGGAAGTTCTCGGTGATGATTGAGTTTATTTCTAATGACACGTAACAAGTCACGGATACTGTCATATTTGTAACGCCTGTATCGTCCGATGTTTGTAATGAAGATAGGTTCTAGCTTTTCATTCCAATTCCCTCCTATAGCCACTGGAGCTGTACTCTCCATTGCTTTCAAGATTTCAGAATCAGCCTCTCTGTTTTCAAGCTCTACACGGTCACTAGCATCCCGGAGAAAAGACAGTCTCATCTCTGGGTTCCAGAACATTGGATGGAGCAATACTTCTGTTGCACTAGGACTGCAAATAACAAGTAGCCACAAAAGAATTGTTTTTCTTGAGTGAGTTCTTAGTCATAGAGAAGAGAGGAAAATGACCATTACCGCAAATCTGGGTTTGGATTTAATAAGTGATATATCAGGCCTGAAGCTTCGGGAACATGCTCTACTAGAAATAAGTCAACTTTGTTATTCACGATATTGACATCACGTTCAAGATCATCTCCAAATGGATGCTTACAACCAGTTATGGAGTAAAAGAGGATACACCCTAAACTAAACATGTCTACAGCTCGTGTTTGGCGACCTTGGTTTTTTTTTTTTAGCTTTCTAAGCAAAAAAGTAGACACTTGTGTATAAAGGCTTTTTTGATGAATAAATTTAGCTTTCATTCAAAAAAAAAAAAAAGAAGAAGCTGCTCTGGTGCTTGCCAACCAGAGCTACCACAACCTG